ATCTCCCACAAGATAAGAATAATTAAGGATAATAACAATTCTACTTGATCCAAAACTCTTATAATAAATCTTTAATTATCTCTTTTAACAATTCTAATTATCCCTTCATAACCCAAAATACGTATATAGTTGCCACATCATCATACCACCTCACTGCCACGTAATTTACCAAAATGGGTGTCAACAATGCCCCCCAATTTTAAATATCTTATCAGCTATCAGCCGCTTAAGCCAATAAGATATTTGAAATTTAAAATATATTGGAAGGAAATTAAAGGCTAAGCTAATCACTTGGAATAAGATTGCAAATCAACGAGTTTCAAAGCTTTATTTGTTCTGAATCACCCCTAAGATGATATTTATTTCATATTAGTCAAATCTGCTGATTTAGGCTTTTTCTTAGATTCTCAGAAAGTTTGCCGATATCGCTTGCCCATAAACCCAGGAAGGACTTGCCCCCCATGCAATTTCTAACTCCATTAGCAAATCATGATCATGATCGACAGGAATTAAATTATTGTGAAGCGTCATTCTAGCCGATCTGCTTATTATCTCTATGACATTGTGCCAGGAAGGAGTTTTCCTAGCTAATTTCATTTTAGCTGATTTTCTTTCAGCCGATTTTGCCTCAGCCGATTTTGTTTTCAGCTTTATTGGCAGGACTGCATCAAAATTCCATTAATCGGCAAGCATGACCTCATTATAATCAACAGAAGTCGAGATATGTCGTAAAATAACTTTTGCCAATTTTACATTCGGCTTAATCAGCAGGACTGCATCATGCCCAAAAGTCCATTGATCGGCAAATATGACCTCATTAGAATCAGCAGGAGTCGAGATATGTCGTAAAATAACCTTTGCCCATTTTACATTCGGCTGAATCGGCAGGACTGCATCATGCCCAAAAGTCCACTGATCGACAATTATGACCTCACTACAATCAGTAGGAGTCAAGATATGTCGTAAAATAACCTTTACCAATTTTACATTCGGCTGAATCGGCAGGACTGCATCATGCCTAAAAGTCCAGGCAAATATGACCTTACTATAATCGGCAGGCTGAAATGGAGCGTATGGATCAACTAACTTTTGTTGGGGGTTTGCAATCACATGCCCCCCGGCAGCCGCCGGTTTTTCAGCCCTTTCAGCCAATTTTGTCTTAGTCGATTTTCTTTTAACTGATTTTCCCTCAGCCGATTTTCTCAACTGAGATCTAAGTAACCTTCTGAAATTAACATTGGCTAGTTTTTTCCTTCTTTTCTTGAAATTGGGCTGAGCACAGCGAGTTAAAACAATTCTTTTAGCTGATGATTGTTTTTGCCAATTATTAAATGTCACAATCGGCAAAGAATTTTGGTACATAGGCCGCTTTGCTTTCAGCCGATTTGTACGCTTCCATTTATCAGTAACATGCTGATAGTTTTTCCAACTTTGTTGTTGATAAGTTATCTGTTGTGACTGATTTACCGCCTGCCGATAATCGGCAGTTGGTAACTGACGATATTCTGGTAAACTTTGCTACCGATTTTTTGGTAAAATTTCCTGCCGAGATCGGCAAGACGGGCCAATTTCAGTACTGGTTATCGGCAGCCCCTCATGTAACAGAGGTTGTGATACAGGGTTGACATGATGATTTACCACTTAGTTAGGATGAGGTTTCCTGTACACAGGCTGAGCAGGTTTACGCCCTTGAGCTACCTTGGCCTAGATAAGCTGAGCTATCAATTCTTTAATCTCTTGATCAATCTCCCCCATTTCTTGTTGTTTTCTTTGAGGGGGAATCGACATAACTAGTGGGCGTTGTATTTGAGCCATTAGTGTTTTCATCCTCTGCTTAAATTCTGGCCAACTTTCTTGCTAATTGGCCATCGGTTGCCCCCCTTGGCCATCGGTTGCCCCCCGAGTACCGAAGATTGTGATACGGGGGTAACATGCTGATTTACCACTTGCCGATAATCGATTAATGGCGTCTATCGATAATCGGCTGCTGAAACTTATCGATATTCTGATGCTGAAACTTGCCGATAATCAGTGATTGTTGGCGTCTGCTGATAATCGAATGTTGGCGTTTGCTGATAATCGACTATCGGTACTTGCCGATAATCGATTGTTGGAACATGCCGATAATCGGCTGCTGAAACTTGTCGATAATTGGTGACTGTTGGAACATGCCGATAATCAGCGACTTCTGGAACATGCCGATAATCAGCGACTTCTGGAACATGCCGATAATCAGTTGCTGAAACATACTGATAATCGGCGACTGATTGCTAATAATTGTCTGACCAATCATATGGCTTATTAGAATATTGGTACATCGGCTGATTTGACTGATTAGAATATTTATATGTTGGTTGAGAAGCCGACTGCATATTTTTATTATAAATCACTCACCTAGTGGGGTCCCACTGGGCGTGCCAAAAATGTTGATGCTAAAATCGGCTGGCTAGAGCCGATCTTAAATTGATGGAAAACGGGCATGCCAGAACCAATTGTATGGTTCGATTGTAATTGGTCAACTGTAGTCTCTTTCAAGGGTTGACTTTCAGACGATGCGAGGATAAAGAGAACAGTGATACTCCTCTTAGAGTTCAAGAAGGACTTTTCAATGAATAAATTATAGTAAAAGATTAAGAGAATAGAAAGGGGAGAAAAATAGATATAACAAGAAAAGAGAGAGATAGAAGGAAAGAGAGAAATAGATAGAACGAGAGATTGAGAAATATAGAAAGAAGAAAGAAGAAATAGCAAGGATGCTATTTTTGGAAAAGCTTGAGAAAGCAAACAAATATTAATAAAGATTCTGAGGGTGCTAGACCTCTTACAATGAATACTTCTACAATTATTTATAGAAGTCATAAAGAGTCCGAAAATGAATAACTACATAAAAAGATAGAATTAATTCCTAAACAAACTCTATTAGATAAGACATATCATATCCAAGGTGCCAACTCTTTTGAAGAGATTACATATTCTGATAAAATCTTTCTTGATATCACTTGTAAATTCATCGTAGTTGAAAATATACGATGATATATCTTCTCCTTTATCTCCCACAAGATAAGAATAATTAAGGATAATAACAATTCTACTTGATCCAAAACTCTTATAATAAATCTTTAATTATCTCTTTTAACAATTCTAATTATCCCTTGATAATCCAAAATACGTATATAGCTGCCACATCATCATACCACCTCACTGCCACGTAATTTACCAAAATGGGTGTCAACAGCAATTTAGGCTTGTGGAGGCCAGAAGACAGCTGATGGCAAGTGCATTCTATCAGGTGGTTATGGAACATTCTCAAAACATGCGAGCCAAATGCCTACAAAGAGTTAATGACAAAAGGGAAGGAATTTGAGGTGTGTAACGATACCTTTTGTGTATGTATAATGTAAAAATCCTCACCCAACCATATGCACTTGACAATGGGACTGCTTCTGCTCTCCTTTTTTCAATTATATATAGATACATATGCATGCATTGGAGCATATGTGATATTATGATGCAGCATTTTGGGTGCATTTTGTACAAGGAGCATTGGATTCTCAAAACGATTGCATTTTAATCCCAGTATGGTGGCTCAAGAAGAGGATTTGATATTTTGTGGATATCTAATAAATTTTGAGGGTCTGTTGGGATTGGGAAAACCAAGAACCAATAGATGGTACCAGATCCAGACTGCTCTGTCTTGTTTATAACTTCATGGCTCCGGGTTAGAAAATTCATGGGCCAGACTAATCATGCAGTCTTGTTTATGGCGCTGGCCTAGAAAATTGATAACAAATTCTAGTCCCCTGTATGCATGAAATTGGCTTTTTTATTTTTATTTTTGAGGCGGCATTTTTTGGGAGAAATGTATAACTACGAATGGAAGACCAAAACAATAGGGAACTATGTTGTGAATTGACGGTTTCTATATAAAAGTTCGTCTTTATAAGTAAATGGTCTTATCACATGTTATTGTTGTTAGGCCATGCAGAAATATTGTAACATATACAATTTCTGCTGGTTTACAATTGTATGAATAATTTTTTTAGATAGTTACAACTATACTAATAATAGACTTTTTTTTTTTTATTTTTTTTTATTACCGCAGTTGGATTGGCTAATACGCACTAATTTGCTATTCTGCTTCATTGAGAAGTGTATGCTATCTAGTCACTCTGACTACCACTATCCAACAGTTTTGGGGCCATCTTGCTGTCCCTGCATTACCTCTAATTTGTGTATAATGTTTCCTTTTAAATTTTTTGTTTCATTCTAATTGTGGCTTATCACTTCTTTGAACTAAATCTATAGGACCTTTCTCGTGTTTGTCCAATTGCAATATGCTTCATGACTCCCCTCATATTCTTTTAGGCAACCGCTGGCTTTTTGTTTGTATGCTTATTATTATTTTCTGCTTTACACCATTTTGTAGAAACAATTCAAGTAGCGGAACATCAGGCAAAGCATCGGTGCAGAATAAAGAAGTTTCTTCTAAAACCAACTCGAACAGTCCAATGCTGAAGTGAAACACACATCTGTTCATGATAAAATACGGGTGCCATTTTACATACGATGACTTGCTTGGACAAATCATCTTGATCTTAAGGCAACAGATTAAAGGAAGAGTTACTGTGTTTCCTCTTGCAAAAGAAAAGAAGAATACTTTGACACACCAGTTGAATTGAGGCTTTTAGTTATTTAATTCTGAGCAAATATTATATACAGTTCAGATTCTTTATATATACTTTGGCATGAATCAATCACTGTATTCAATTACAATGAAGGAATAGTTCTGATTCTTTATATACTTTGACATGCATCAAACACTCTATTCACTTTCACTTGCAACATGTGAGTTAATGCCATTATTGCTTCAATAACTCAATACACAGCTGTTGCTTTCTTTGCTTAGTACAGATTGTACACCATGGTCTCTGCAAATAGGTGTAGTGTAGTGCCCAACTATGTGATGTGCTACACACTCAAGTCTCCACAAGCAACAGATATTATTCCTTCATTTGCAAGAAGAGGCAGACCGCAGTGCAATCATCCCTCTTTGTGGAGGTAAACTTCTCTTCCCACGCAGCGATAGCCGCATAAACCACTGCTCTTGCTGCTGCCTCCTCACTCTCTGCTGATGACACAATCATCACCACTTCATCGTTACCAAGCACATCCCACACCTGAATTAATCTGACGTATGGTTAGTCGACACAAGTTCGTTTTATTCTACTAATAAACATTTGAAAACAAACTTTTGAACTAGATTTAATCTTTGTCTTATATCAACACCATTTTAAAGAATTTAGTCCCCGGTACCATTTTCTTTAAGATGAAATGTCTCAAATTGCAATGTGCTCCATATGAAATATGTATGTGTTAAAAATCACTATTTCATTTTAATGGCCTTTACCCCATCAGTGGCAAGAACAAGAAACTGGTCTTTAGAAGTTAGACGGCGATAAGAGACATCGGGGATGGCTATTATGCCATGTTTTTTCAGCAGAAAGTCTCCGAAAGCACGAGACATGGCTAGGCCAGGGGAATCCTCATGGGGCAACCACACTCGCTGAATGTGTGATTCCTCTTTCAGTGCAATCACCCTGCCATTGTTCTTCCTTATTCGATCTGCTTCCGCTGCATGAAATTGATAATCCATCATTATAAACATGTTCATATTCACATTTTCCTGAAAAAGCTGTCAAAGACTTGATCCAACCCTCTATGAAGATATTGCACTGAACATGAGAATGACAAAGTACTCTACAAAAATATTGCAGGCACTCCTAATGATACTTCCCCCTTCTAAGGTTGAAAGTCAGGGTTCAAGTCCCCGTAGGGCAAAGTGAGTGTGTGTTTGTGTTCCTTGCAAAGAGGTAAAAAAAAAAAAAAAAAAAAAAAAAAAAAAAAAAAAAAAACTATTACCTGGTAAGTTAGGCTTTAAATCAATTGTTAATTGAACTGCCTTGACTCCATCCTCAGCGATTGTCCCTAGCACTGCTCTTGAGTCGCCGAGATTAGCAATAACAATATCTTCATCCTGTTTAGTTTCAGAATTAATCACAAGAAACACCATAAAGTAAAATTCCAAAATTCACATTATATATGGAAAATAAACAGTTACTATGATTATAGTAATTTGTTTGATACCTTACCTGTCTTATGACAACAACAGCAGTAGTACCACTACAAGAGCAGTCCAAATTTTCAAGAAGCTTGATCTCTTTGTCCATCACCCTAAAGGCATTAATACAGGCCTCTTTCCACTTGCAAAAATTCTTTTTTGGCGCTGTTTCACCTTCAACTCTCTCATTGTTATTAAGCCTTGAGAGAGCATTCTTTTGGTTCCGTAGCAAAGACGGCAAGCGGTTTCTGACTAGCTTGCTCACTATGTGTCCATTCATTCCATGCCCATCAAACACTCCACAAAAAGCTCCTCCTTCCATTCCATAGCCCTTCCAGAGGAGTTAAAAAAAATCAGGAATGCTTTGGTAATTTTCTCAGGAAAGTTAATTCTGATAATTTTCTCAGGAGTACCTCTATTGGAAAATCTGATCTTTGTGGCATTCAATATTGGGCCTGATTTGTAACTCCGAAAATACTTCTCAACCACTCAGAAAACAGAAAACAGAAAACATGTACTTTTATGATTGAGAATTTCAGAAAACTGAACCAAATGGAGTTTTTATACAGTTTTTTGTTTCCAGAAAACTATTCTCGGAGTTACAAACCAAGTAAGCCTATAGAGTTTAACGATCCGAGCACAACCCATAAACCGCAAAAAATTCTAGAAGCTAGAGAGGACCAGTAACATACCTGGTGGAGAGTTGCAGCATCCTGGTTTGACCCTTTGCTTCCTTGCTCCGAACAAAGAGAACCAAGTCTTTGAATTGCATTACTAGTAGTAATACTCTCTTCACAGTATACCACATTGTCATGGCTATCTTGAATCTCTGAAGATGCAGAGGATATACAGATACCCATATGATCAACTGATACACTTTTTTTCTTATTAATTATAACAATATGAGCCAACCAATTTCTTTATATAAGCATTAAGAACCCCAATAGGTACAAGTTGACATAATTATACATATTGTATGGAGGATTAGAATTGGCACCAAATGAGTTGAAAATGCTTGTCGCTCTAATAATTCACTGTTTATTTTATTTTTATTTTTTTTAATTTTTAAAATAATATTATATTTTTTTGGCTGTTTCTTGGACTACCTCAAGCTTCACTTAAAGGGCACACGAGGTGCGTAATACAATAAATTATGTTATGTTTTGGCTGGTTGACTCTACATCAGCAAAATGGAACCTGCATTAGTTTTAATCCTAAAAATAAAAAAGTGATAATGGTGTTGTTCTAAAAGATGATAAAATCTGTGTACTTATCTGGTGGTGCATTATTTGCACTATCTATATATCAGTCTGACTCTAAAAATTTCATATTTGTGTTGTTTAATGGTGGGTCCATCCCCACATTTGTGGATATTGTTATTTGTGCCATTAGAAAGTACATAATATCTGTATATATTATATCTGATTGTGTGTGTGAGAGAGATTCTGTGTGATTAATTGCAAAAAGGAATTGGAAGCAAGCAAAATTATGGAATTAGAACTTCCACAATTTAAGGGATAGTTTGGCTGCTTACTTACCACAATCCATCTAAATCAGTTTAAAGGTGGATATTAAGGCTTTGTTTGCAATCACTTTTGCTTTTATTTTTATTTCGACTTAAAGTAGAAACACTGGTACAACTAAAGTGTGTTTAACACTATTTGGAACCTTATTTGGTAACGTAAATTTATTACAAAAATTTTGATTATGCTTTTGATTTTGGTCTTTTTTTTTTTGGAGGCGTTTCGATACTATTCAAATGACAGCAAACATTACTAAATATACTTCGTAAACAAATAACATGAAATAAAAACGGTTATTTGTTAATTGAGTCTTAAACTTCGAAAATAAGAAATAAAAAAAATGAGTCCTAAAATTCTCACTTTGGGAGATCCCACCGTCCCAAGCACTTAACGTCGCTGGAAAATTTTTTAGTTCTGATCACAGGAGACTTTCTTTTTGCCCTTTCACTAATCGATGATACAGAATATGAATGTGCTTATTGAGGTTAAAAAATGGCAATTTAATATTAAAAGTATTCAATGAATTGATTAAACAAATTGAAAAACTTTAGCCTCACATGAAAAGGCAATGATGTAATATATAAATGTATTATATATGACACCACCTACACTAACCCCTGTAAAGGGTTTTTAATTTGCCTCAGATAAGAAGACTTTGACTATTGATATCCGAAAAAGGAAAAAAAATAATTTAAAAATTTAGATTTTTTCTTGGATTAATCATATGACATGGATATTTGCTATTATTTAATATTAAATTTTTTTTTTTTTCTTTCCAAAATTCAATTACAACGAACAAATAAATCAAATCAAGTCGAGTCAAGTTTGAAATTGTTCGGCTCAACTCAATCTCGAATTCTTAAAAATTTCAATAACAAAACTCAACTTGATTAGGTTGCTTGCAAGCATTTTGGGCTAAATTTGTGAGCATAAAATATATATTATAATATATTACTTTATAATATATTTTTTTTACATATTTGTCGTATTGATATAATTTTATTACTATAATTTGTTTGTTAAAATTAAATGCCGTAATAAGTCAAGCCTATAAGAATCTATGTGACTTGCAAGTGCAAAAACTACATCAGTACATTGAGTAGAATGAAGAATTGTTCCAAGTTCAACTTGTTCGTTAATATACAAATTAAGATAATAAATTCGAGTTTGGTTAGTTTGCTTAATGAATAAATAAGAGTCGAGCTTGAACAATTTACAACTTGATTTATTTTCGTTCCTAAATTCCAACTTCTTTTTGTTTTCTAATTGGTCATTCGTATTTTACACATATACGGAGTTTTATACTTGATTTGGTTTATATATATAATTTAATTGGATAAAATGCAAAGGTCATGATGACTTTGCAAAGTTGATTAAGAGCCTTATAGGTCATAAGCTTTATTAGAGAAGTAGTTATATATAGATAAACCATTAGAGTGGCAAATTAAAATTTGAATTATTTTGCACTACATCATATAAACAAGAAGTCGCAAAGATTTATTAAATTATTATATATGGACCTTGGGTTTCAATGAAATTTATTATGTTAATTATAATTCATATCAGAAGCCACAACATTTTCTATGATTTGTCTTGTCAACCTCAATTATTTACTATATCAAAATTTTGTCACAACAATTTATAGTTTTTTTATTTATTAAAAAAGCCGTAATCACATTATTGTAAAAGTTCAATGAACTCCAAGTATTGGCGCGTGTTTCCATTATATCACACACACACACACACACACACACATATATACATATTTGTACACTGAAATTATTTTTTTCACGCCAATAAACAAGAATTTTATTCACGCCAAACATAGTACGTAGTGGCATGGAAGAAAATCTCCTCATGTGAAGAGTACATTATGTTATGTCTAGTTCTCGGAATGCACATTACAAAAAGGTGGGATATTTGTTAATCATCCCAACTTTTTTGGAAGGTATATTCTGAACTGGACGAAACAGGTCCTACTATTTCATCGAAAAAGATTCGGGTCCGTGATAACACGAAGATAAAGAAAAATGTGATGTATATTGGTAATGTTTTGACTTTTAAAGTTTAACGAAAGAACCATGCTATATAAATCGAAATGTTGGAATGAAATGTCTAGTGGAAAGTAAAATCATATACAAACATTACCAAAGGCTATGTGTATAAGGCTATGAGCACTGAAACAATGATTTGAATTCATCAATTCCAAGTCCATACAGTCAAACATAACCTAAATTTATTTCAATTCCAAATCCAAAACGTTGATTCAGTGTTCTCAAACGCAACATAAAATTATTTTTCCATCTTTCCATCAAATCTTGGAATTGCCTTTATAATAGGGTAAAGTGCAAAAAAATAATCCTAAACTATTGTCTTTTTGCAAATAACTCCTTGAACTATTGATTTGTTTCTTTTAAAGACAAACCCATCACAAAAAACTATTTTATCCTTTCTCATTAAATTTGACATTTCTTATTAAATTATTTTTATTATCTTTTCTTTTATCTAAATATTAATTATACCATTTACCTTATTTTATTATCAATATCAATTTATCGTAAAAATGATTTTTTTTTTTTTTTTTTTGTAATTATATTTTCTAATATAATTAACTTATAATTAAACTATACTATTTATAATAAAACTTATTATACTCAATTTAAATTTTTTTTTTTTTTTTTTTTTTTACTATTAAAATACCTTCTTTTTCATACAAAATATTCATGAAAATTTAACAAATTTCTTAAATAAAAGTACCTTTCCATGCAATATATTAATGAAAAAAATAAGAAATTAGGGGGGCTTAGTAGTATTCTTTCCTCAAGTTCTTTGATTTTATTTGTTATTGGCAAAAAACTCACACACACTTCAAATACTCACACACCTACTTTACTCATTTGGAGACTCAAATTCTCACCATCCACTTTGGGAGGTAGAGGACTTTGCAAAGTTGATAAAGAGCCTTATAAGTCATAAGCTTTATTAGAGAAGTAGTTATATATAGATAAAACATTAGAGTGGCAAATTAAAATTTGAATTATTTTGCACTGCATCATATAAACAAGAAGTCGCAAAGATTTATTAAATTATTATATATGGACCTTGGGTCAATGAAATTTATTATGTTAATTATAAATCATATCAGAAGCCACAACATTTTCTATTATTTGTCTTGTCAACCTCAATTATTTACTATATCAAAATTTTATCACAACATTTTATAGTGCTTTTATTTATTAAAAAAGCCGTAATCACGTTATTGTAAAAGTTCAATGAACTCCAAGCATTGGTGCGTGTTTCCATTATATATATATATATATATATATATGTACACTAAAATTATTTATTTCACGCCAATAAACAAAATTTTATTCACACCAAACATAGTATGTAGTGGCATGGAAGAAAATCTTTTCATGTGAAGAGTACATTATGTTATGTCTAGTTCTCGGTATGCACTTTACAAAAAGGTTGGGATATTTGTTAATCATCCCAATCTTTTTGTAAGGTATATCCCGAACTGGACGAAATATATACTATTTCACCGAAAAAGATTCGGGTCTGTGATAACACGAAGATAAAGAAAAATATGATGTATATTGGTAATGTTTTGACTTTTGAAGTTTAATGAAAGGACCATGCTATATAAATCAAAATGTTGGAATGAAATGTCTAGTGGAAAGTAAGATCATATACAAACATTACCAAAGGCTATGTGTATAAGGCTATGAGCACTGAATCAATGATTTGAATCCACCAATTCCAATTTCATAGAGCCGAACATAACCTAAATTTATTTCAATTCCAATTCCAAAACATCGATTCAGTGTTCTCAAACGTAACATAAAATTATTCTTTCATCTTTCCATCAAATATTGGAATTGTCTTTATAATAGGGTAAAGTGCAAAAAAATAATCCTAAACTATTGCCTTTTTGCAAATAACTCCTTGAACTATTGATTTGTTTCAGTTAAAGACAAACCCATCACAAAAGGCTATTTTATCATTTCTTATTAAATTTGACATTTCTTATTAAATTATTTTTATTATCTTTTCTTTTATCTAAATATTAATTATACTATTTACCTTATTTTATTATCAATATCAATTTATCATAAAAATGATTTTTTTTTTTTTTTTTTTTTTTTTTTTTTTGTAATTATATAATTATAATTAAATTATACTATTTATAATAAAACTTATTATACTAAGTTTAAACTTTTTTTTATTACTATAAAAATACCTTCTTTTTCATACAAAATATTCATGAAAATTTAACAAATTTCTTAAATAAAAAGTACCTTATTTTCCATGCAATATATTAATGAAAAAAATAA